TTTTGTGCACTTAGTTTTGCATTATTTGGTAATCAAGATGGGTTCCCAGAGGTGAGGCGACTACTTGCTGAAGAAATCCGTGAGCACGATTGGCGATACGCACCCATCTATGGTGAATCTGTGAATGCAGCAATCAGACGCATTGACATCGCTACTACAGTACCAACGACTCAACGTCATTGGATGATGGGTGTGGATCTATTCGTATTTGCCACACTATTTAATTTGGTTGTTGTCATGTACAGCTCTTACCTCTTGCCAGTACCAAGTGCGTACAACTGTACCATTCTGCCAGTGGACAACATATCTGGGGCAACCCACCCTAGAGGAGTCATTGTTCTGCATTTCATCCAGGATCATTGGCTCAACCTCTCTTTCCCGGCGGACAAGATACCGATGCCCCCTCTACATGGCATGTGGCCAGGCGGTCACCAAGAAAGCGTGGATGGATGGGATACATATTTCGCGCCGTTTAGTCAAATGTGGTTCGATCTTGGAGGTGCGACGCATAGCTTTCCATCGCGCAAAAAGAGGGTTCCAAAGAAATAAATTTGTACTCGTCTTCAATTTAAATAAATTGTAATGGACGTCTTCAATTTAAATAAATTGTAATGAAGTTTGTTTACGGCACATGGAAACATGATATATTAAAAACATCCGAAGTACAATATAAACCACATAAGTCATAATCAGATACAACAAATAACATAAGTTATAGTCTAAAAACAACAAATAAGCAACTGAACACCACATAACATAAGTCGTAGTAGAACAACAGAATAACATAAGTCAACTCGTCTAAAAACAACAAATAACACTCATACATATGACATAACAATCATACAACTACTGTGGAGGTGGTAGAAAACCCGACTTCCTCCTAAACTCGGGCCACATGTTCCCAACTCCATGACATAAGTTGTAGTACTCGTTGGTGCTAGCCATCCACTCCTCCCTACTACCCTGTGCAGCATCCATCATGAGAGATATCTCAATCCACATCTCGCTTGACAACTGTAAACAAAAACCATAAAATTTAAATACATATGAGTTGCAATCAAACAAAGTTTTACTTAATACAAATAATTTCAAATATGATTTTACTAACCGTATCAGCATCCGCGATGTCGCGACTAGGTCGGCTGTCACTAAGTATATGTGGGTGCGAGTGCCTAATGTACCACCCCATGTAATCCTCAGCAAACTCCCTTGGCCTACGTCGTATCGGAGTAGAATAAAGGTCCAGATGCACACTATGCGCCCCCAAGTTGTTCCACCACGAATCATAAACAGACTATTAGCTAAGAGAGTATCCAAGCGTGGAAGCAGGTCGACGCACAACAAGCGGACGCTCCGGGGGATACGGTACACTCTGCACGTAGCCTAACTGTCGGAGGCACCTAGTGGGATCATATGGCTCTACTATCTCTGCAAATCTGAGCAGGCCCTGATACAAGATACGTCTCACCATCAGATGAGGACTCTGACCATACGGAGTCCAACAAACTGACTGAGGGTTCAAACTATCAATCGCCTGCCGATAATAAGCCAACATCTGTGCATCCCTCTTCTTACTCGACTGTGGTGTTGTACCGCGCCACCTGAATGTTCCTGCCTGCCCCTGCTCCAGCTCTCGTGGCTCCAACCGACTAGGCCTCAAGGTAGGAAAGTGGTCATAAATCCAACACTGTAGTAAAGTCAGACAACCTGCCACTCCCTTAGCCTCCGCTCGGGAGGCAATACCAACCTGCCTGTACAGATAAGCAAGTGCTCCTGCCCCCCACGCGTACTCTCTTAGCATATCTGGCCTCTTCACAAACAAGTTGACAACAGCAGAAACACGGTCCTTACTCTTATCTACTAACAGTGTGGACTCAAGCAGCAAAAGAAGGTAACACTGAGCCTCTCTAGCTGGCGGACCAGACTGCTGCAAATGAGTCAAAGTTCCCACACCAAACAAACCAAATCCTCTGTACCACCTAGACAGACTGGCAACCTCGCCAACCTGCGCCTCGTACTCAGAATCGTCACGATCTAATCCCAGTAGTGCTCGGATGTCAGCCTCCAGTGCCCACTTCTCCAACTGCCTCGGATCCACTACCATCGCCTCTCCCTCAACCGCAAGCCCAAGAATGTGTGCCACGTCGTGAAGAAGGATCGTCATCTCTCCAAACGGCATGTGGAAGGTGTTGGTATCCGGCTGCCACCTCTCCACAAATGTCGAGATGAGAGCAGGGTCCAGCTCACTCTGGAAGGTGATATCAACGAGGTGAGCAAGGCCCGATGTCTCTACGGTAGTCCTAGTGTTATCATCTGCTATCACATACCCGTCGAGAACGTAGCGAAGGGTCGAACTCCTGTCGTAGCAAGTTATCACCCCTCTATCAGCCTCTCCAGTGTACAGACGCTGGGCAACATGCCCAAGAAAGCTACGGAGCAAACTCGGGTCGCTCGGCCCTCCAGCACATGGTCCTCTAGGCTCCCAGGCCTCTCCCACATCAGCAGTACCACTCTGGCCCTCACTAGGCTGTGGAGCTCTATAGAAATGCCCCGCATGGTCTCTATAGATCCTAGTAACAACATGAACCCCAGTAACGACATGTGATGATCCGTTGGGGGTACCTCTGTCTTTGATCGGACTGACTAGTGGAATGCGATACTCAACAGCATCTGACTCATACTCCTCCGACTCGTCATCAATCTCGTCTGAAGGCTCAAACTGTGAAGCATGATCACGACTGGGACCAGATCCACTACCAGCCATACTAGGCAACTGAAAATCAAAGTGAGGAAAACCGTCTGCCCTCATACTCATCGGTGTCACTACTGGCTGTGGCTCATCTCTATCATTTGGGTCCTTATTTCTCACACTAGCGCTAATGGAGCGCCCAATGAATCTTCTCAATCTCTTTGCAGCTCCTCCAGAATTACCAGGTGACGCCATCTCTAAACATAGTCAATAATTTTCTATTAATATCTTATAATAAATTATTTGTTGATACATACATAATTGTTAACTAATTAATTTAACTAGATAGTTATTTTACTTATACGATAGGTAGTTATTTAAATATTTATTTCAACTTACTCAATTACTTAACTAAAATTTCATAGATAATTATTTAAAATTAAAAATTATTTACAATTTATTTATTCCAATAATTATTTAGATAATTATTATAATAAATTATATATTAGCATAGTCAATAATTATTTGTTAATCTCTTATAATAAATTATTTGATTAGCAATTTGTTCATAGTCCTAATTTATCAATGACTAATTATGATACATACAACTTGGTCATCTAATTAATTTATAATAAATTATTTGATTAGCAATTTGTTCATAGTCATATTAATCAATTACTAATTATGATACATACAACTTGGTTATCAAATTAATTAAACTAGATAGTTACTTTACTCAATACGATAGATAGTTATTGGGTTAAAGACACATTTGGTCACTGAGATTACAAAATCGGGACATGTTTAGTCACTAGAAAAAGTTAATATCAAATTTGGTCACTACAATTACTAAAACTGTACGCATTTAGTCACTCGCCGTTAGTCTCCATCCAACTCTGTTAATGAAGTCCGTTAAGTGCTGATGTGGCAAACAGAATTGCCCAATCAGCCGGATATAACCTAACAAAAATAAAACCCGACCCGCCACGTCATTATAACCCGCCACGTCATTAAAACCAACCCAACCCATGACCCAACCCTACCCAACCCTTCTTCCTCCTTCCTCCCACCTCGGCACCTCCCACCTCCATCTTTCTTCAAAACCACCGCCGCCGCCGCTCTCCTTCAAAAGCTCCACTTTATAACTAGCATCAAGCACGGTAGAAAACTTGAACCGCGAAACGACTAGGGTTTTACAGCCATCGATCCTAAAGATCAGCTGCTCAAGAACCGAGAGTGACCATACATCATCAAGAACAATCAGAACTCGACCTCCAACAGCTTCTGTACTGAACCCATAATTGCAGCCAAAGCTACCACTACCATGATCAGATTCTTTAATAAACCCCAAAATCTTAGCCCGCAGCTGCTCCACATCAGGGGACTGCGAAACCGTCAGGAACAGTATCCGGTTCTTGAAGTGACCTGGCCAAAAGAAGATTTTTTTTTCAAGATTGTTATTTGCCGCCCTATAAATTACTATTTGCCCCCCACAATTTGAAAGTAAATGACAATTTGCCCCTTATTGAAACCCTACCACAAACCATCGCCGACTTGCCTCCCTGCCGGTAAATCGGCGCGCAACCTTCCTCCTCCTGCCAATCCTTACCAATCTCTCTTTCCTCTAAGCCCATGCCCACCCAACGCTTCCTCCTCCTACCATTCGAGAGAAGCACTGGCCACAAATCCAACCCGTCAACAACTCACCGCCGATCCCAAAATCCATCCCGCGAAGACAACAATTCCCGGCATCGTCATCGTCTTCCCATCGTCGGACGGAGATCAAGGGCCCGACGTCGGAGTTAGAACGGAGAAATGCGGTTCGACGTTGGAATTCAGACGGAGAAGCACAATATGATCTCTGGCGTCGGACCGCGTCCGATCACCGGCGTCGGACCGCGTCCGATCACCGGCGTCGGACCGCGTCCGATCACCGGCGTCGGACCGCGTCCAAAAGTTGAGATGAAGAAGAAGAGGAGGGAGAGAGGGCATTCGATGGGAAGTGAAATTTGAGGGGGTTAATTAGAGAGATTAGTGATTAATATTATTGTTTATTATTGTGTTAAATGATAATTATTTAGGATTCTGCCGTTAAGTGAGATGGATTGGGGGATTATTGGTATAATTATTATATTAATAATATTATTATTATTTATTAGGAAAGAAGTTGGTAGCGATACCCTCTCTCGCGTAATTGAAGTGCTAAAATGGCTCCAATTCAGTTAAATTCATCTACTGGTCAAACACGAAAATTAAGAAAATCCTAAACTTACTTTAATTTTTTTTTTATCAAAGGAAGCCCCGCTCCCTATCAGTTTATTAAAATATTCCTGGGCTCTGAAAGGCCCTGTCTGTCATACAAAATCAAATTGTTCAGATCACTATGATCGAGCGGGATACGGTGGAAACCAATATCAAAAGTATGCCCCAGGTTGGCCAGAAAGTCAGCACATTTGTTTCCTTCCCTGTAGATGTGGTGGACCTCAACTTCCCATTGCTTCGACAACAGCTCTTGTGCTCTGCTCATCACCCCGACTTGGGCATGGTCTCTGTTATCCTTCTCTTGTAGCAGCTTGACTGCAACTTGTGAATCCAGTTGGAGTTGTACTCTGCGGTATCCCTCGTCCCAAGCCACTTGTAGCCCTTGGACAGCTCCTCGAAGTTCGGCAGTAGTGATAGAGCATGTACCCAGTTTACCAGCAAAAGCCATCAGGCAACGACCATCGTGGTCTCTCAATAAGCCCCCTGCAGACGCACTCCCAGAATTTTGCAGCACCGACCCGTCGCAATTGACAGCGATCCATTGATGGGGAGGGGGGGTCCATGCTATCTCAGTTACGTGCCTCGGAGGGTTGGGTGTATGATGCAACACCTGATCCTTTTCCATAGCACTTTTAATGATCGCTAGCCATTCATTAATCCGTCTCAAAAAGCCATCCTTTGTTGTTAACTTACCCCTGAAAATACGCTCATTGCGAGCCTTCCAAAGAGCACAGCAAGTTGCACCAAAACGCAAGCTGAAATCTGAATTCTTGAGATTATCCACCAACCACTTCCTGCAATCTGCAGCAAAGAAAGAACAGTATCTTGCCGGCTCAATGGTGGTACGCCACACTTCTTTAGCAAGTTCACAATCCCGCAGAACATGTATCACCGATTCGGCCTGATCATCACACAAACTGCACTTGTCCGAGGTAGATAGGTTCCTGCGTTGCCTCTCTGAATTGGTGAGGAGCCTTCCTTTGATAGCTAACCAGAGAAAGAAACGGATTTTAGCAGGCCCCTGCCACTTCCAAATGAGCTTCCAATCCCCCTGTTGGTGGTCCTTCTCATAGTTGACCGCAATATCATAGGCTGAGCGAACCCTGAATTTCCCATCCGCTTCAGGTCCCCAAGTTGGGACATCCTCGCCAGCCTCAGGGCAGGGAGGTTGGACACCTGCAACTCTAAGTACTACCTCTTCCGGAAGGAAATTCCTCATCCTCTCCAAATCCCACTCGCCATTGGATTGGACAAAGTTTGCCACGCATTGATCATCAGCCAGATTATCCATATGAGTTAGAACATGATCAACAAGGCATTCCCCCGTACCAATCCATCTATCTGCCAAACACGAAGTAGACTTACCATCCTTAATAGCCATTTCCATGCCTGCTGTCATTATGGGCCAGGTGCGCTGCATTCCCCGCCAAAGGTTTGATTGTCTTACCGAGGTTTTAGCTCTCAGGTTACCCTCCCTCATTTTGAAGTATTTTGACTGCAGAACTTGGACCCATAGCTCATCTGGGTTCTTCGGGAAACGCCAGTTCAATTTTGTGAGGTACGCTAGATTGAGCTCGTGAGCTTTCTGAAGTCCCAGTCCACCATCTTCCTTTCTCTTGCAAATTCCTTCCCAGTGAACTAGGTGCAGTTTCCTTACTTCTGGAGTGGAACCCCAAATGAAACCTCTAACCCGCTTATCGATTTCATCGCAAATGGAGATAGGAAGGAGCGTTGTCTGCATAGCATAAGTCGGTAGCGAGCATAGAACTGAAGTTGCTAGGGTCACCCTTCCCGCAAGAGTCAAACTCTTAGCTTTCCATCCCGAGAGCTTAGAGTTTATTCTGTCCAGGATGTAATGATAAGTGTCCTTCGTAACTCTTCCATGTAGCACTGGGACACCTAAGTATCTTCCAAGATCCTGAGTAGCTGGCATACCGAGAATACTTCCTGTGCTGGAACTGGTGGTGCGCTTGGTGTTCTTTGAGAAGAAAACCACCGACTTTTCCTTGCTGACAAGTTGCCCCGAAGCCTGGCATAAAGTGTCAAGACAATCCATGATCACCGTAGCTTGATCAACGCTGGCTTCGGCAAATAAAATCAGATCATCTGTGAAGAAGACATGGGATAGTAATGGTCCTCCAGGATTCAGGCGGATTGGTTTCCACTTCCTCTGATCGATCGAATTCCGGATGAGATGACTGAGCTTCTCCAGACAAAGTGTGAAGAGGTAAGGCGATAGCGGACAACCCTGCCTTAGGCCCCTTGAAGGTTTGAACTCTTCAGTGTTTTGCCCATTCCAGAGAACCTGCATAGTTGGAGAGGTAATACAGGCCATAACAACATCAACCAGTTTCGTTGGAAAACCTATCTCAGTGATCACCTCCTAAACGAAGCTCCAACTCAATCTGTCATAGGCCTTGGTTAAGTCGATCTTCAAAGCCATTTGCCCTTTATTCCCCTTTTTAAGTCCCATGGAATGGACTACTTCTTGCACAATGATTATATTGTCCGATATATGCCTGCCGGGAACAAAACTTGTCTGCGTCGAGTGAACCAGGCTCCCCATCAAGGGTTTGATTCGGTTAACCAAGCATTTCGCCAAAGTTTTGTAAGTCACATTACATAAACCAATAGGTCGAAATTGGAGAAAGGATTCAGGAGCTTCTTTTTTGGGAATAAGGACCAGTAAGGTTTCGTTTACCTGGGAAATGGTTTCAGGATGCCTGAAACATTCCTCCACGAAATTGACAAGGCTGTCTCCCACTTTGTCCCAGCAGCGTTTATAGAAAATCGGCTGATAACCATCCTTCCCCGGCGCTTTTAAGTTCCCCATGGATTTGATTGCCTCAACGATTTCATCTCTAGCTATGGGCCGCTCTAGGCTGGCATAATTGGAAACAGACAGGGCTATAAAACCCTTGGGAAGCCATGGCGATCCCCCCAATTCGGCCTGGTACAGAGATTGAAAAAAGGACACCGCCATCCCGCGCAGCTCGTTCTCATCAAAAACCCAGTGGCCCACGTTGTCTTTCAAACCCAGAATGCGATTAAACCTTCGCCGTTTTAGAGTCGACAGATGGAAAAATCTAGTATTACGATCTCCTTCCACAATCCAAGTAGCTCTGGACTTTTGGAGCCAAAAGATCTGCTCTTGCCAGAGAGTTTTCTCCAGCTCCCGACGGGTCTCCTCTTCATCCCGGCGCAACTCTTCAGTGGGGGATAGCTCATTTTGCATTTCGACTTGACGTAAACGACGCGCAAGCCGCCGCTTTCGTTGTAAGATATGCCCGAAGACCTTCCTGTTCCACTCCTGAAGAGCACTGGTTAGTTGTCCCAGTGAGAATGGTAGATTTTCCGATTGATTCCAGTTTTCCTCCATGACTCGCGGAAAATCCTCATGAGAAAACCAAGCGGCCTGAAAACGATAAGGACGAGGAGCTCTGCCACTGTTGGACGCCCCCTCCGCTTTAATGAAAATGGGCCTATGATCCGACCCAATCCTCTCCAAATGGGTATTAGTAGTTTTCGGAAACTTCAGCAACCATCTTCTATTACACAGGGCCCAATCCAGTCTCTGTTGAAGAAGCCCCCGACGCCAGGTGAAACGGGGCCCGGAGAAGCCCACGTCAAGCAAATCAGCTCCCTCGACACAATTCCTGAACGCCCTGCTACGAGAGTCATTATAATCAGCTCCCCCTGTGCGGTCTCTGGGCCCTAGGGCTGAGTTGAAGTCCCCGGCGAGAGCCACGGTAGTTTCACATTTCTAGCCAGTCTGTAAATCTCGGACCACAAGTCTGCTCGTCTCGCCGCAGTTGGGCAACCATAACACGCAGAGATCAAGACAGCCTGGCTGGGGTCATCCCTTCTCTCGCAGTGAAAGTGAATCATTTGTTCCCACACCGAAATGGGGGACACTTTAAAATCTTGCTGTTGCCACAGAACCCAGATGCCACCAGCAAAGCCAACAGCCTCCGAAACCAGAACACCGTCGAAGCCCATTCTAGCAATGACCCGCTCAGCAGCTTCACCACTAATTTTTGGCTCGATAATAATCAGAATATCCGGCCTAGATGGCCTGTAGAAAGACCCCAAAGTACATAAAAACACATCCTTACCTGCCCCCTGGCAGTTCCACGCTAGAACACTTAACATGGGAAAAGTGTGAGAAGGTGAAACTAACCCAGCCGTCAGCTCCGCTGACAATTACAAGCCAGGATTTGGGGTTTTAAACCCCCCCCCCCCCCCTTCAGAGCTGTGTCATGATTACCAGGTGGAGAAGTAGTGATTAGCTGCTTCACCCCAAGATAAGTTGGGTCCTTCCTGTTTTCTTTACCTTCTGGCTCAATTTCAGTGTGAATCAATCGGTTTTCCGGCTGGGCCGTGCTCTTTCCATTTTTTCTCGGAATTTTCTGGTCTGCAGAAGTTTTTAGTTGGCCTTTTTTAGAGGCACCCTTACTGACGTGCTTGACAATGCTAGCAGCCGCTTTGACATTCTGCGGTTTGTCCATCAGTGCCGTCCCCTGCTTAATAGGGACGTCAATCAGTCCCGTATGCTGTGGTGGAGCTGCCGCCGTCCGCGAATCCGATATCGGTGGGGGTCTGCTGATCACTCCCATATCTGGCGATCCACCTGATTCCATGTCACTTGGCTTTCCTGTTGGTGCTACTATTCCTTCCATCGGTTCATCCTCCGATTCCTCCGTTTCTAGGCCTTCAAACCTTGAACCCGAGCCCGAGCTAGTCTTGGTCATAGACTCACTCTCTGGCCGTGGTTTGGAATTCTTGCTTTTCTCCACGGAGTTAGCCTGCTTTTTATTGTTTCTTCCCTTGGACTTAGCTATCATCCAGTCGCCATATAAGGGGTTGATTGTCTCAGTCGATTTCGCGGCTGCGGGTTCTTCTACCATGGGGGACGATGGCCTTGCAAGTGATGGGCAAGTCTTGCTTGAATGACCATACCGGCCGCATTCTGAACAAATCATATGAAGCCCTTCGAACTCAATGTAGTACGTCTTCCCTTCATTTTTGTATTGCGAGAGAAGTGGCTTTGTTAAGTCAACCTCAACGCTAACTCTTGCAAAACGGCCGATAGCACACTCTTTGGTTGCATGGTCCACCCTGATCGGTTTTCCGATGCGCGAAGCGATGCGCTCGACCGCTTCCTCATTAAAAAATTCAACGGGGAGGGCCGGTAAACGAGCCCACACCATGGTTCTAGCAACTTCAGCTGTCTTGGGGTCAAAAAATTTTTGCCATGGACGAACAGTAAGGTAATACTCGCCTATCATGTATGGCCCACCCACAGCTGCTCGCTCATAATCCATCTGATTTGCAAATCTGACAGCATAGAAACCGAACGATAGACTTGTTATCTGGATGCTACCACATTTGGCCCATAGATATTCCAGTCGCCGTGATAGGATGGGAAACAGGAAGGTTTTCCCTAGC